TTCTTTCACTAGCCTATCGCGCGAAAGCGCGCACAAAGGAGCCAAAGACACAAGTACGATTTAAAGTCCACAACAAACAAAGGAGCGAAGGATCCGACGAGTATATAAAGAACGTAAGAATGTAAGAAATAGCCATCCGCCGAGCTTCTCGAGCCACGACCACAGCTGCCCGACATGCCAGTGCAGGGGTCCACGTATGGGAGCGCACGTCCCGTACCGACTCCCCCCCGCCCCCGCTCCCGTCCATCATCCCGGTGAGTCTCCACATATGAGCGCTACGTGCGGAGCATCAGGTAGCTGAACGCGGCGCAGGCGGGGGGGGCACGTACCGATCGCCCCGACAGAGTGTCGAATTGTCGGGCCCAACGATTGCATGGTTGCAAAGGCGACCCCGCCGCGGGATCGGTGTAACGGAGAGCTTGTGGGTCCAGGCGCACTTGCGCGCTGCGGTCGAGGTGCCTACGCGCAGGTGAGCGGTTGCAATAGCGACGTTTGACGTGCGACTCACCATTCGAACAGTCGAGCGACGCATAGGTGCATCCAATCGCTCGTTTTTCAGGGAATTGTGGACCCCGACTCTACGCCGACATACCTAGGCTGCATCGGGCGATGGATGGCCCTTACATGCTCCTCGTCGAGGGCGTAAGGAAGGGTGGACGACGTCTGTAGGGGCGCCGCCCTGTCTGCACTCAGTCTGTCCGAGCCAGGTCCGACGACGCGGCCGCTGCCAACGTGCGTGTCGCCGAGACCATGCAGGATGAGGGGGAGAGCTGCTTGGATGGATGGCAAAACTGTTGGTCGATTTTTGTACTTGCTTGTGCACGGCATACGGTGGCATTGTGATTGTGGCGATATCAAAAATGAATCGGTGGATCATCGTTTGCCCTTTTGCAGTGATTTGAAAGACCGTTTCGCGAAAGGTTCAGGCTATTGTCTTGTCTCGTTAGTTACAATTAATTACCTTTGTTGGGCCGGCAATCCAATGTATTCACTCTCCAGGAGAAAAAAACCATCAGGGCCTCCCATCTTGTAGATGCACTGTCCCTCTCAGAGGCAGGTAGAGTACGACTCTAGTTCGGTGTCGCAGGTCATGAGACATTCGCAACACGGAGAGCAAAAGATGAGAGCAACTTTTTCTACTGCATTAAGGGGGAATCGAACCCCCGGCGGGTCGATGGCAACGACCCAGGTTACCACTACCCCATTAATGCGACATTATAAGCTCCTCAAGAGGTAACAAGTCGCAATCTTGTGCTCATCTAGCAGGTGGTGCTTACTTATGACTCGGATCAATCTGGAGGCATGTACACTAGGAACATGCAGTGCGCCCGAGGGGACCGCCGGTACCGTGTACATGCCTTTATACGATCAGTTCCTCCCCATCCAGACCCCCGCACGGTCTAGCATCGACTGCGGAGGGACGTCAGCTGCGCAGTATCAGTGGTGGTCGTGACCTGCGGCTAGTGACGGCGTTGCTGTCTCGGACATATAATGGCGCGAGGCTGGGATGAACTGGTGAGCAGACTATTTCTCTTTCAGATTCAACAAGTGCTCACCTCCATGTCAACCTCAGCGCCGAAGGCAGAGGGCGCCGCTGCCGCTGCGCCCAAGCCGTACGTGCGGCTTGCACGCAAGGATGAGATCCCCGCTCTTGCGCTCATCGCGCGCGAGGCGTTCATCGCGGACCCAAACTTCAGCTATTTGGCGAGTCTGAAAGAGGTGCGTCTGTCGCATATCCAGATACTGAGGATGTCCTCGTTAACGATCACGAATGCGGTGGCTCACCAGCACCTGTCGAACGAGCAAGACTCGAAGAAACGCCGGACGCTCGAGAAGTTCCTCGGAATGCTCTACGGGCTGTCGTTCGCCGCCGGCGCCCGCATCACCGTCGTCGCGCTGCCGAAGAGCGAGGAGGAGAAGCGGTCTGGGAAGGAGGAGCTCGCGGCGTCGTGTATCTGGCTGCCGCCGCACAAGCGCGTCGGGCTCAAGCAGTTCTTCACCTCGCTTCGGTACGGTTTCTTCTCCGTTCTGCGGGGGTGGGGGCTCAAGGGCATGACGGTGCGTCCTATCTACCTTCACATCTATTTCGTGACTTCCAGTCTGACGCGGCTGTATATCTCGTAGCGTGTGTCGATCTTACACCCTATGCATACCGACGCGGCCTGGGTTGAAGTGTGGAAGCAGTGCAAGCTTCCGGGAACCCCTGAACACGAGTGGTACCTGTTTCTGGCTCTCACTGCCCCACAGCACCAGGGTCATGGTATGTCTTCTTTCTTGGACATCAAGATCGACTGTCGATGCGTCCTCATGCAGGATATTTGTCTCTGCTCCTCCGCGAAATGTTCGCATTCGTTCCCGACAAAATGCTCACACTCGACGCGGGGACGGCGAAGGCGCGCGACCGATATGCGCATCTCGGCTTTGAGGTGCGTTGCCTAGCGATCCGAATATTATTTCGTGCTCGGAAGCTGATCCTGCCTGAAGCTGCAACGTCCGTGGACTCTGGGCACGGGCCAGGTGAACGAGCAGGGATTGAAGACCAAGGGCGAGAAACCTGGGATGACGTTCTATTCGATGATCAAGGTGAGCTAATATCTAGAATGCCGAAATGAAACTTTGTTCACATTGAATGCCTGCAGTGGGATCCGAAACACTCAGAGGCCACCTGAGCATCGTACGGGTTTAGGAATATTTATCGCAGCCGTAGGCACAGGTGTGGACTACTAATCTTTCTGGAATATTACTGTGGATGGATGGCTCTCCTTTGCGAGTGTCTTCTCTTTGCTATCATATCACAAGACTACAGGCTGGGGCGAGGATCATCTTGCAAAGAACCCCCAGGCGCAAGTTCGACGAAACGCCAGTGAGTTTGCGCTTGAGCGCGTTGATAACGACTTCAGCGTGCTGCGCATTCCATCCGCAGCCGCGAAAAGTCCATTCAACACGCGTGGAGGTAGATAAGTATTCGCCCCCGCACAAGCTGCGAGGAGGGACGATCACTGGCACGAACTCCGTGCGCAGCATCTTGGTCATCCAGGCACTCCGATCCCCCACAATATATGAACATGAGCAACGTGCACGGAGGGGGCGAAGGGTTCGAGCGTACCAGCGGTGGGTGCTACTGCGAACGTACTTACATCATTTGCTCGATAGCTTCCCGACGCCTCTACGACTATGTCTTCTCAGCAGGAGAGGCACATCAACAATTTCAGCCAGCTCTTCCCGCCGAAGCCGCACTGGACGGCCGCCGATGTGCCCGATCTGTCTGGCCAGACTATTATTGTGACGGGCGGGAGCTCAGGGCTGGGGAAAGAGATTTGCAAGGTGCGGTGCGGTTTCACACATAAATATGCTCCTATTGATATTGGTTCATTCATTCATTGGTTTCTTGAAATTGAAAGGTGTTGCTATCGCATAATGCAAAGGTATACGCAGCAGCGCGGTCGGAGGAGAAGGGCAACGCGGCGGTCGCTGAGCTGAAGAGTTCGACGGGAAAGAATGAGATATACTTTCTCCGATTGGATTTAGCCGATTTGACTTCGGTGCACAAGGCGGCGGATGAGTTCATGGCGAAGGAGGATAGTCTGCATGTTCTGTTCAATAATGGGTGGGTTCTGTCTCAGGCGCATGCCAGGATAAGTATAGTGACCTGGACTGTGGTGCAGAGGTATCATGTTCCCCCCCGCGGAAGTGGTAACGGCCCAGGGCTATGACGGCCAATTCGGTACCAACGTCCTTGGTGAGCTTGCCCTCGTACCCTTCCATTCCAGATCTTGCCACTAATACGTCGCCTTCACCAGGCCACTTCTTCTTCACCAAATGCCTCCTCCCTATCTTCTTGCGCACAGCAAAAGCCGAGTCGAACCCAACCCACAAAGTGCGCGTGGTGAACACTTCTTCGAATGGGCATGAGCTCCTCACCGTGCCTGGCGGCATCGATTGGACCGCGCTGGGGAAGGGCGACGAGGCGCTGAAGAAAAGGAAGAAGCTCGGCCCGCAGAAGCTGTATGGGATGAGCAAGCTCGTGCGTTCGCGTTTCGTTCATTGAACACTGTTTCCGGACAATCGCCTCTGTTCAAAATTTTAGGGAAACGTGCTCTTCTCGAACGAGCTGGCGAAGCGATACGGTAAGGACGGCGTCGTATCCATTGCACTCCACCCGGGTAAGCACATCCGTCTTTTCTGACACTTGGAAGTACAAGATCTTCTATACCTGTTACGCCAGGCTCCGTGAAAACCGAGCTCCAACGGTACTCGACGTCCACAGTCGACTCAATCATCAACAGCATCCTCGCATACGACATCTCGCTTGGGATTATCACTCCCCTTTACGCAGGGACGGCCGAAGAAGCGCTGAGTCTGAACGGCAAGGTGCGATTTTCTGGTTCCTTTATGCCGAGGCTGTTCTGAGAGGTGAAATGCTATTGGCAGTATCTGACTGCGTGGGCGCGACGATCTCTGCCCAGCAAGGACGCGCAGGATCCTGAACTGGCGAAGAGGCTCTGGGATTGGTGCGAGGAGCAGGTAGAGAGGTTCTGAGCCTTCGTACACCTCGTCTCCACGATGCGGGATTGACGAACGATGTAAGTAGTTTGGAGATACCGCCACTAGGATCAGCATCATGGAAGTCTGGCCTCGGAACACTCGATAGCAGAATCATCGCACGTACTCGTCGTGTCATGCCCCAAGGTGTCACACCTGTAGAACGGGCAACCATAATGCAGGCGCGCGATCACAGACAGCCACAGTGAGATCCAGAAACAGCACGAAGCTAGCTGACCTCATGAGAATTTTGCAAGGTAGATGTTTTCTCGTTTACTGGTAGGAGTTTGTCGGGACCGCTCCGTAGGACAGAGGTATCCGGTATGTGCGCCATGAGTTCACGACCGTGACAAAGACGAAGCCGCCGCGGTACCGTCTCGCCTGTATCTACTCATGCTTCCAACAATGTAACATATTCTATAGCACTCATAGATAATTTGTTCGACCCCCATACCATGTCCCTGGTAGTATATCGGCTAGTACACCCGCCTGTCATTTCAACGATTGGCCGCGGGAGAGCGGGGTTCGACTCCCCGCCAAGGAGCATGACCGATTCTGATTGCCTTGTTTTTTTCGCATACTCCACGTCTGGTGTGTCTTTGCGTCGCGAGATGCATTCGGGCTGTACTAAATCCTATTTCATGGACTTATTCACACGGGTATCAACAAATCAAGTCTACACAAATCGCATTCACACCTCGATCCTATCCACCACTCATGATCAGAACCCCTTCGTCTGCTCCTCGCACCACTCCCACATCTTCTTCGCCAACTCCGGGCTCTGCGCGTCCTTATCCGGGAACGTCCTGCGGGCCCACGGCACGAGATACTACGATCGCAACCTCAGCCTCGAGTCCCAACACAACAAATCAAAAACGCACCTCGCCGTTCATCTCCAGTGCGTCGTCCGCCGTCCCCGCGTACAGCTGGCTGATCACGCCCAGCGAGATATCCTTCAGCACGACCGTCTCGAGGAACGTCTTGAGCAGCGCGCCCGTGTGCCGCTGCAGGTCCGTCTTGATCGCGCCGGGGTGCACCGAGATCGACACGATGCCTTGCTCGCCATAGCGCCTCGCGAGCTCATTCGAGAGCAAGATGTTTCCCTGCACACCGAGACGCCGTCAGTGTCACGCCTACACCGGGTGGAGGGAGGGAATGGGGGTGGACGTACAAGCTTGCTCTGCCCATATAGCTTCTTCGTGCCGAGCTTCGCGCGGACCTTCGTCGACGCGTCGCCCTTCTTGAGCGAGTCCCAGTCGATCCCGCCGGGGACCTTGAACAGCTCCGCGCCGTCGGACGAGTTGTGTACGATGCGCGCCTTGTGCTTCGGGTCGGCCTGCGCGGTGCTAATCAGGAGCGGTAGGAGCAGCGTCGTGAAGAAGTAGTGTCCTGCGGCACGGCTTTCGTCAGTTCCGACTTCAAGGTAAGGTGAGAGGACGTGAAAGCATACCGAGGACGTTTGTCCCGAATTGCGCGTCGTACCCCTGCGTCGTCATCTGGTCGAGCGGGAGGAACATCACGCCTCTGTATCCACCAACCCAGCCAATGTCAATATTACCCTCTCTGCACCGCCTACCGCAGCGAACAGACGCACCCATTATTAAACAGCACATGCAGCTTCGGCTCCTTCTCAATAAACGTATTCGCCGCATCGCGCACAGACTTGAGGTCCGCGAGGTCGAGCTGAAGGAAGAAGATGTTCTCCTTCCCCGTGTCCTTCTTCAGCTCTGCGATCGCCGCGTCCGCCTTGCTCTGCGAGCGCGCGGCCATGTACACACGCGCATTTTTCGACAGCAGGATCTAAGCGCGACATGCGGCGTCAGCTGAGTGCTCTCAGGCATGTGCAGAAAGTAGGAGGTATGAAGAAGAGGGAGGAGAACGGGAATCAGGACGCACCCGGCACGACTCCTTCCCCAGCCCCGAGTTCCCGCCGGTCACGAGCACCGTCTGCCCGGTCAAGTCGGGCACGTCGCGTGTCGTCCAGTGCGGCTTGGGCGGGAACGCCTGCTTGAGCAGGCTCAGTTTCTGCTTTGGCGGTGCGGACGAGGGCATGGTAGATATTTGTCTGCATAATCACCGTCTTCGTTAGAATCGCAATTACGTTTACAACGAGTAATACGTCGGGACGCACCTGGAGAAATTGGGTCTGGGTGGAAGAGAAGGGTGAAGACTCGGATGCCAGGTTCCAGATAGAGAGGGAATGCTAGATGGAAACGGAAACGGAGAGACGACGAGTAGAGACCTCGATATGCAACCCAGACGCAGAGCCGTGCGCATCAACTGACAGCGCCCACGTCTACGCACGCACACGTACTTATACCGCACAGATCCTGCGCAACCTCCGCGTGCGAACGCGAGGCGAGCGGGGATTAGGCGCGCCCAGCCTGGGTGGAGCTAAGAGCGCATTACACGCGCGGCGCAACGGTTCGCGCTCGTGTATCACCCTAATCAACACAGGACAAGATGGGATGGAATGGGATGGGACAGGATGAGAGAAGAAGGCAGGCGGGCAGGCAGACGCGAGGCGCCGTGCGCTCGTAAATGTCCGACTCCCGTAGATCACCATCAGCCATCCGTCTGTGCACACAAATGGGCCGGAGGGTCTAATTGGGCGCTCGCTGCTCCAAGCCTGTCCTGTCTGTCTATTAAGATTCGCAAAGCGTGAAGAGCAGAAGCGGTGCGGGCTGTAATTAGTCGTGTTTAATGGCAGATCTATCGATGTGACGAGAGAGGGCTAGAGGACGTACGATGAAGTGCTGTTCTCATTCCGTTGTGTATCCATATAGTCGGGCTTCAAATTTAGGCAAAGGCATCTGCTTCTACATCTCAAGAAACGTGAGTAGTGATGCTGCCACGATATATGATGCTCACCGACATAGCATCATGATTGCAGTCCCGCTTTGGTCTGCCCCGGCGCCAAAAGCCCTGTCACATCCGGCGAGCTGATCGGAATTTCCTGCATGTAAGTTGAATGAATGTATCGCATTCGCACGCACGGTAAGCATCCGCAGGGTATTATGAGCACCAGTACAGTGCTGGAAATCAATGCTAGCGTCGATGTCCGTGTATCACCGGATCACCGGCCGCAAATCGTCAACGGTCAACAGCAAAATACAGCATCAATATCGGTACACCGCTGCATTACCGCCTCACGTATATAAGCCAATAGCAGAGCGGCAAACCAGTGATCCTAGACCTAGTCATGTTATAATCCAGCAAGCACTCACCCCTAGATACTGTACCATATCCGTACACGTATGTACCACCTATATACACCCTTAGATCTATCGTCCGCGCGTGAGCATACGCAATCCCAGCAAATCACGGATACGCACCGCAGTCCTCACATACAACGGAAGCGCATAGTGTTCACTTCTTCCCACCCGCCTGCTTCGCCACAAACTCCGCGAGATACGCGACCATCTTCGCCGTCTCCTCGCCGACGGGGCGGATCCACTTTTCGGGCAGCGCGAAGCCGTACTGCGCGCCAATAAGACAAGATGTCAGCACCACGGCGTGCAAGCGAAAGACGAATATATTTAAAGCGAGGCTGAGAAAGAGGGAAAAGACGCACGGTGCCAGTGTCTCTCAGATGCGCCGCGAACGAGTACTTCACCCCGCGCCGCTCGTACATCCAGTCGACGATATTCCCCGGCGCACTGCGGGCCAACGCATTAGCATACAGAACACGCATCTCACCTTGAAAAAAAGGAAACGTACCGGTACAAAGTCGAGCACAGCGTCCCAGTCTAGTTCGCGCGAGTTAAGCGTAAGGAGGGGGATGAGGAGGGGAAGGGGGAGGGAAGGGGGAGGGCAGGGGGAGGGAGAAGAGGAAGGGTGAATAGGGGAAGGAGGGAAGGGACGCACGGTAAACGCGGCACCATGCACCTTCTTCGCGGCGTGGCTCGCGCCCTGTGCCGCCTCGAGCTGATCTTCAGCGTCCTTCGGGCTGCGCTTGCACGAGTACGAGTACGGCGTCGACACTGTCGAGCCTCAAAGGTCAGCAAACACACCCGACGAAACCAAATCAAACCAAAGAGCCGCAGAAACGTCCAAAAGAACGTAGAAAACGGTGCGAGTAAGAAAGCGGAGGCAGAGAAGTCTTATAAGGAGGAGGCAAAGGTCAAAGGACTCACACATCTGCCCATACGCCCTCAAGTCCACAAACACGTCCACCGCGCGCAGCCGGTCAAAGTAGTTCGCCATGTTGTTCACCTCGGGCGCCTGGAACGCGCGCCGCCCGGGGTACCAGTGCGAGCACGTGTCCTCCTTCTGCTTCCTGTCCTTCTTGCCCTTCTTGCCCTTCTTTCCCTTTCCCTTCTGAACCTTGCCGTTGGTGTTGGTGTTCTGAACCTCGCCGTTGCCGTTCTCGACCTCACCGCTGCCGTTCTCGACCTCGCCGTTGCCCTTCTGGTCGTGCAGATCATCATCATCATCCGCATCCGCATCCACGTTGGCGCTGTCCGCCGCATCGCGCTTCCACTTGTATCCCTGCACGAAAATACATCAGCGGGCACGGTGTGTGCGGGAGGAAGAAGGGCGGACGGACCCAGTTTCTGTGCAATGCCAGGATGCCGTCAGTCAGTCAGGTGCGTGTGTGTGTGTGTGTGCCAAAAGGGCGCGGAGGTGGAGAGGGTGGAAAGTGGAAGAAGGGGCGGAAGAGCGAGAGAGGATAGAAGGTGGAAGGAGAAGGGGAGAAGGGGAGAAGAGGGGGGGAGTGGAGTGAGAAGACGGGAGACGGGAGACGGGGAACGAGGCGCACCTGTTCATATCTACACCGGTGCACTTCGCCTGCGGGCCGAGATCGAGGCGGTTTTTGTACCTGTTCGCAGCTCGGGTCAGCTCCGTGCATCCTATGTATATGCGTCCCGACTCTTGGCCTCGGAGGGCCCGGGTGCAGACTGCATATATGCGCGCGCAGAGGACTGGAGGCGCGCGCACGGAGGATGGAGAACGGGGAAAGAAGGGGGGAAGGGGACTCACCAGAACCGATCGTGCTCCCAAGTATAGAGATACCCATCCGGATTGGGCACGGGCACGATGTAGAATTTCTGTGTCCTATATCAGCTATCGCGTCACGCGAGCGGAAATTCCGGGATGAGGATGCGAGAAGCAGGGTTGGGCTGTGGGACGTGGGGTGCGGGGGGTGGGGGGTGGGGTACGGGGGGTGGAACACAAAGGGAGCAGGAAGAGGAAAGCGGGGAGAGACAGACACGCACGTAGTCTTTGAGCAGATACGCCAACGACCCCGGCTCCGACGCATTCGCGACGAGCGCGTGGGTGAGGTAGAGCGACGCCGCGGTCGCGACCCACTACGCACGACACGTTAATCTTCAGTCCGCGACTAGCACCCGACCGACGCACCTCGCGCGCATGCTGCGCCCCCGTCACCACGAACCCCATCTCCTTCTTCCCTTCCCCACCATCTCCCCCTCCTCCCCCCTCCTCGCCTCCTTCCCTACCCTCTCCTTGCTCCCCCGCACCCGTAATCTCAACCGCATACATCTCCCTGCCCTCCCCACTATGCCCGAGCCGTACGATGCG